TGTATATCTGATACAGAATCATGCTGATTGACATAAACTTTAAGTTTAATTTTCTCACCAAATATCATTCATTTATTTTAAATTGTTGAAGAATATGAAAACTCTCATCAAGACGTTTCACAAGCCATTTACAACATTCGTGTCCGTGTTCTCGTGTTCTACGGATATACAAACTCTCGCCTATTTACTCCTGTTCATGTCGTAAACAGAACATACAAAACGAGAGGATTCTGACCTGCAGACAACAACAACCCATGCCGAAGCCCATGGCATCCATATAGATATGATCTGGTTTCGCGGCTCTCCAAGCCTCACCGTCATTATTTGGAAACGTTTCAATAAATGGAGAGGGAGTATTCGTGTCTTTGAAAACTATGCAGACGAAAAATAATTTACAGTTTTAAGAGAAAAAGATAACTTATTCGACAGCTTGCTGTTCATATAGTTAGCAGCTTGTCTGGCAGTAAAAAGTTGCGTTTACGGCAACGATAGTATAGCTGCAAGTGATATTTTCTGTGTTGGTGTTGTGTACTCAGGTGAATAAGATGCTTGTGATGTTACTCTGAGTGTATATCCACACCAGGCAGGCTTGAAAAATATGCCTGGCCACAGTGGGAATCAAACCTACGACCTTTGGAAGACCTTGGAATACTAGCCCAATTGTTGGCATTCCAAAGGTCGTAGGTTCGATTCCCACCGTGGCCAGGCATATTTTTCAAGCCTGCCCGGTGTGGATAGCTGCAAGTGTTGGCTTATTCAAATGTTGGAAAGTCAAGATTATGTCTTGAATTTTGGGTGATAATTCAAGGGAGGATGCTTGATGATATATAGCTCTGTCTAGCACTCTTACTTGGAACATTGATAGCAACTTTTGAGCCTCTTCTTTCACGTATATTTCTTGTCAGAGTGCTAGAAATTAAATTAAAAAAATGATCAGTTAGTCGAGTGGGATATATTGCGTACTTACGTATACAGGAGGTCCCGACAATATTACGGTCTAGTACTTCTTTGTTTTCAGCCAAGTTCCACGCTGAACTCTTGCAATCTGCGTGTTCACTTTTTGCTGGTACAGTATGACCTTTCTAAGCCCAATGTCTTCAATACCGTAATTTAGTTGGTACATAATGTGTCTTGGCTTTAGTTGGTATATGAGATGTCTTGGCATGAAACATGATTGGACTGATGGCACTAAGAAACGTTGGAGTCGATTGTTTGTATATGCAAATGCGCTTCTTTTTCTATCTCGTAGTGTGAACATACTTTTCAGAAACCTGTACTTTATGAACGTTATTTTAATGACTAAGTACACATTGAGTACTGAAATTCACAGATTGTACTGGCCCAAGTACGCGACAATAACCATTGGCATACCAGTCAGGTACTTGAACTGTCGCACCATGAATTAGCAATATCAGAATAAGAATCAAGGCTGCAGTCTCATGGTCAACCTGCAGTTGTCAGAGTGAGAAAATGTTCATTCTTTTCATTATACGTAGTAGTCTTGTATTTGGAGGCCTGTCAGTCAAGGCAAAAGATAAAACGTTACCTGTATCTTGGATGTGAACTAATGGCTTCCTGTGGAAAGAAAAGCGAATGTGATGCACCGGAGCTTGTTGAAGGTTTGTAACTTGGAAATGTGAACTGAGGACAACCAATCCTGTGATATAATAAAATTACTTATAAATTTATTATTTAAAATTATTTACATTATACAGTTATTAATGAAGTTGTTAGTGTAACATGTAATTCTCTATGATAGCTTGAACATGGTGGTCAAGTCAGAGGCCTAGTCAGGAAGCTATATTTCTGCATTTTACAACATTTTGCAACCAAACTTTGCAATTTTACTAATTTTAGTATGCTCTTTCTAACTGTAGTGATTTATTTGCATCTCTTTGCCTAGTTTTAAAATTAGTCTATAATGGGAATTGTCTGTTACCTTGGAAAACATGTCATACTCAGCACACATTCGTCATCAGGATTGAGAAGGTTCATCACTTCCTCACGACGTAATTTCATGTTTGCCTCGATCATGTTGAAATGTCGCATGCATCCCCCCAGAGGTTGTCCAGGCGTCCCTAAGGAATACATTTTATTATTATATCACTGTATGTGTGTCTAGATGCATGCCTGCCTCTATCAGGTGGCGCCAACAGGGGGTGGGGTGGGGGGGGGGGTGCTCTCCCCATAATCATTTTCAGAGTGTAGCTTTAGATTTGTTCAAATATGATTAAAAATTAGGGAGGGTGTGAAAAATTGTCAGCAGACTGTGTTGCATATCTTGCCCACATCTACTCACAGAATCTACTGAACTCTGTAATATAAATCTCTATGTCTCCCACTGAAATTCATGTATTCTGAAATCAATATTTGACACTGTCAAAAGGTGATTCATCAATAAGACATAATTTATATTTTTCCCCACAATGTGTGTGCCCCAAACCCCCCTAGAATTGTGACTCATAATTTTTTAAGTTGCCCCCTCGTCCAAAAATAAAATCTGGTGGTCAGGCAGTAGGCACTGCCGTCTGTTCATCCACTAGGCTTCCATCTATCTGTCTTGTTCATTTTTCAATACCTTCAATCATGTAGCTGGCATATTCTGGTTTCCAAGATGTTTCATTTTTTCTAAAAGAAAGTTTTACAATTAAGTAGAAATTTTAGAAGTGTTTTCAATTTTACTAAAAACAATACCTGGTAGAGAAAGTCTGCCAGAAAAGTTTTAAAATATTGTACCCTGGATTGGCGTGTTCCTCCTCCTGTAGTTTCGGCAAAAGATTTGAACTTTTCAACAGAAGTTTTGCAGTCTTCTCTTCATGGTCAAATTTTACCAGCATATATTCCACCTAACATTACATAGAACCAAAGCAGTTAGTGGCAAGAACATAAAGGTCATCACACCCCCCCCCCCC